CACTCGCTGAGCAGCACCGGGCGTGGGTTCACATGTTAAGGTGCTTCAGCCACTCGCTGAGCAGCACCGGGCGTGGGTTCACATGTTAAGGTGCTTCAGCCACTCGCTGAGCAGCACCGGCTGGTCACATGTAGGTGTTCAGCACTCGCTGAGCACACGGTGGTCACATGTTAGTGCTTCAGCCACTCGCTGAGCAGCACCGGGCGTGGGTTCACATGTTAAGGTGCTTCAGCCACTCGCTGAGCAGCACCGGGCGTGGGTTAAGAGGTATGGGTGCGCCAGCCACTGTGCTCAGTAGCTCCTGGAGTTCGAAATAACGCGAAGGTTTGTTGCAGTTGTCGAGTGTGAGTAAGGTAATGTGTTGATGCCACGTGGGAAATGGTCACCAGAGATCAAGCGAGATATCTTGTCTCCGGTACCCCCTGAACTAATGCTATATCTCCTCCACACAAGTGGGTCGGATTATCCACTAGGCACAATGAGTATCACAGTCAAGGCATAAGAAAAAGTTCCAAGTCATAAATATCTCAAACGATTTAAAAAGGAGAAAGCTACTAAATGAAACTTCATTATTTGCTTAAGAACTTGCATTGTATGTGATGTATAATTCTCACTTTGGCATTAACATGTATACCATTGCAAATATTTATCTATTTTATCTATCTTTAGGACCTACGATTATTAGAATGCCCTGAACCTATAAAGACTAGTCCTGGTCTGCCTTAGATCCCTGAAATCAATCTCGGAGTCTCCTTGACGGTAAAGCGAGATTGTGATCACGAAATGTAGGTCCCAGAACGTTAAAATTAATTACGATACTTTTCTACTCTACCCTGAAATTTAGCATCAAGTGCCCTCCACTCTAACTTGATATTTAATGCGATATCTGCTCTACACTATCCTGAAATCTCATACGATATCGTGTCTCAACTAGCGTGAGATTTAACATCAAAGTACTTGTTACAGCGTATGCTTTATGATATATTCTGTCAGTGATAGTTGATACTGGCTGTGCTCTCTGAAGTAACAGAATGATTAGTGTGATATCGACAAATAAATTTACATGAAGGTGCTGTTAGATGCTGTTGACGGTTTCTGCCTCTGAACAAAGGGATACGTTAATGCTTCATTTTGCTTGACTTTTATCCTATTTTATTTATCGCTATCTCCTTCCCTGCCTGACTTTCCTTCCTCCTGACTTCCCGCCTCCTAGTACCTCCCTCTATGCTGCGCTCCTTCCCCTCTCTATCTTCCTACATCCTGCTCATTCTTGCACTCCTTTACTTCCCTACCAAAAGAAAATGGCAAGTGGGCAGCAGCCTATCCATCTTCTTCCGAAATTGAGCCGTCACTATAGTTGGGTGAGGATCATATTCGTGAAGCCTCGCCAGGGAGCTCTTCGCCAGGAAGCCTCTTCTTCAAGGAGCATCCATTGCCAAAATGTTTTTTTTAATGCGTGGGTGGGGGTTTGATGGGAAGTAATCCAGCAGAAGGGACCATAGCTTCAATTCCCTAGATGAAGTTTGCTTTACCGGCATCAAGTCACGCCCACATGTACCGTAAAGATGTGCTGAGTGCATATACAACTTCACAAATACTCAACGAAGTTTAATATTCAGCTTATCCTCAACTAGGGGTATAAATCGCTGTAATATTATATATTTCTGGTTTGCAAAATCACAGTTTGAGGTTTGATGATTAAATCTTTTTGGAATTACTGACTTGAGAGATAATGGAAGTAATTACTGACTTGAGAGATAATGGAAGCATTACTGACTTGAGAGATAATGGAAGTAATTACTGACTTGAGATATAATGGAAGTAATTACTGACTTGAGAGAAAATGTTTCAACTGGAATTTAGTGTCGCTGGGATCACTTTCAAACAGCCAGATCTCTCAGTGTTCTTGCTGGGATGATATATTAAGCTATAATATCTGGGGTACTCAGATTTTTTATAAAGTTGCTATATTCTGAAAATTTACACGCAAAGAAATGCAACAGAGCCGTGAAATGACGGTTGATGTGGAGTTTGAAGCCTATCAACTACATTAAGCTACACACAATCTGTCGAATATTTCGATCTCGAAAATGGGGATTAAAGTAAAGTAGTGTATATGTACTGAGAGTCATACACCTATTGGTTATATTCTGACTGTTAAAATAATATATTCCAGTTTCAGGGCTATACAACACAAGTGGTTATTATTACCGAATTTTCGTTATTTCACTTTTAAAATTAGTGCTGTTGGTTCATGTTGAATCCTTAGCTTATATTTAAAAAATATTTACACTCTGAGACAACAAATTACAAACTTGAAAAGGATTGTTTTTTTCGATTTTCTTGAGACCAGAAACTTGCAAAGATTATTTATGGGTTTATCTTAAGCATGAAAACGAAATTGACAATATCTCACCGACCCTGAAACTATTGTAACCACGCCAGCACTATACACTCAACAGCCCTGAAAGTACTGTAACCACCCAAGAAGCACACACATTCAGCTGACCTGAGAATGTTAGGTAAAAGGACACAACCGCAATTAATGACACAATAAACTGTTACATTAGTTGCACTTGTATACATTTACCTAATATATTGTCGGTAACAATATTACCCTGAGACTATTGTAACTACCCCAGCACCACGCACTCAATGGCCCTGAAAGTGTTTGCAACCACCCCAACACCGCACTTAAAGTGGCTAAAAATATTACTTGGCAAGCCGACAGGATTATCTTAACTTAATTATTTAAGGAACTAATCTGATCTCCCTGGGGTATCACCTCGCTCATAATTAATAAGTTCCCGTGAAGTGGAATCAAGTGTAACCATGCAGCAGATGTGGGAAACATACTTTTACTCTCACTTTCAGTCTCACTTTCACTTTCACTCCCTCATAAGCCAGCGCGTGTCCAGGTGGTCATAATTCTAAACAAAAAAATAGATATAACCAATAAGATTTCTTCTGAGTTCAATGTCTGGGAGCTGACGTTACAACGTCACTTAATTTTTGAAGGTAACATCTCGCTGGAGAGTGACGTTAGTAATAGTTTATGCTTGAATTTTTTAACTGCTAGTTGTTAGTTTGATTGTAAGTTGTCAGTTTGTTGAGTGGAAGTTTTGTTTATTGACTGCAAGTTATTAGTTAATTTGCATGTTGTTAGTAGGTCGACTACACATGTTAGTTGTATAATCTAAAATATAATATAATATATAATATATATATTATTATTATATATATATCAATAGATCACAGTTAACAGGTGATATATATATTATTTAATAATATATATATATATATAATATTTATTATAATTATTATATAATATATTTATATATATATGCAAAAAACCACTCTGAAAGAATAGAGAAATTCAAGCGCTTTCGTGACTACTCACATAGTTCCTTGATAATGTTGAATAGTCACGAAAGCGCTTGGAATTTCTTTATTCTTTCAGAGTGGTTGTTTTGCATATTTTAAAATCATGTTTACTGTGATCTTATTGCATATATATATATAATGTGTGTGTGTATGAGAGAGAGAGAGAGGAGAGAGAGAGAGAGAGAGAGAGAGAGAGAGAGAGAGAGAGAGAGAGAGAGAGAGAGAGAGAGAGAGAGAGAGAGAGAGAGAGAGAGAGAGAGAGAGAGAGAGAACAAGGTGTGGGTGCTCGAAATGTCGCAGACGCAGATGTTGCTCAACAACATTGCAGCTGCACGAGAGACATTAAAACAATCGTAACAAAGTACACCACAAAATTTTAGTTCTGTGATCAATCCCAAAATTCCTCAAGATCTCTACTTAATGGAGTGACACTTGTAACACTTGTGCCATTTTAGAAACACTTCTGCAAAAAGAAACGTTTCGCCCAGGAGAGGTTTATTTAGTCTCTAGAAGACAAACTTTAAGGAGTACAATGTTATATTTTTTCCCACTAGTTTCACTCATGAGAGAAACATTGCTTTATAGAAATAATTCCACGTGTCACATATGTTCATTTTCATCTTACATTCCTCTTACTACAAAGTGACACTTCCCTCCATCATGAGAAAGACTACGAGTGAGACACTAGACGGCACTCGCGTCGTCGACCACACTGACACTCACCTCGTCGACCACTGACACTCCCCCTCGACACCTCAAGACCTCACCTGCGTGCCGAACATGAAACTCACACGTTTCGCCCCAAGATGCACTCACTCTCGACACACTTTACGATACCAGTCTATGTACCCCTGACACTCACCTCAGTCGACCAATGACACTCACCTCGTCGACCAAACTGAATCCACTTCCGTAGTCCATCTGACACTCACCCTCTCGAAACACTGACTCCCCTCGTCGACAAACATGACACACTACGGCGACCACCTGTGACACACCACCTCGTCGACCACACTGACACTCACCTCGTCGACCACACTGACACTCACCTCGTCGACCACACTGACACTCGCCCGTCGACCACACTGACACTCGCCCCGTCGACCACACTAGCAGTCTCCCCGTCGACCACACTGACACTCGTTCCGTCGACCACACTGGTGCGGCACAGCCACCTGACCAATGCCACAAAATACAAAACAATCCTATTCAGATCATTTACTTATTAACAAGGGTGCAATCTCTTCAAGTGGGGGATTTATTGCTTTTCCTGCTAGTTTTATAACTGGCTTGCTATGAATTCAAGCCCTCCATTTGGTGAGTTGTTTACAATCATACCATTACGATTTCGAAAGTCATTCATAATAGCTTTGAAAGGATTAGAGGTAGAGGTCTCCACAGTGGTACCTTATTGGTACAGCGCTCCGCGCACAACTGATAATCTCCAAAATCGTGCTCGCGTAAAATTAGTCTGTAGAAACCTTCGTTTGTTGTCACAGTGGGGCCCATATTAGCCTATAATCATTATTAGGGTTATGATGAGGTGAAATTTTAGATCATTTAAATGTATTCAGAGAAAGATGTGTACTTACCCTGGCCTTCTCTACCTTCGTCAGGTGAGCATTATGCAGCACGTACGAGGAGCCTGGACACTTCTGGTGCTGGTGGCGCTAGTTCAGCTGGTCGTCTCACAGGAAGAGGTGACTCCAGACCACAGTGATGATAAGCGGGTAGGCTGGTCCTCAATGCACGGCACCTGGGGAAAGAGACCTGATCTTGAAGATACTCAACTAGAGGTATGTGTATTCAACTGGTTGTGTTTGCGGGGGTTGCGTTATAGCTCTTGGGATGTGCCTTTGCACTTCAGTTAGCTGATGTAGATCCATGTCATTTTTGGGCTGTCATAGTTACTTTTCCATATTTAAATTTAACAGGCCTTCTCTATAGCCCTTATTAAAGCATTCCATTTATTCACTACCTCACACCCACTCAGACCATAGTTCAGCACAGATAAGCAGTAGTCGCTGTTGCCATAGCCCATTATAGAGTCATAGACTATTCCACCTTCACGGCCTCTCAGATGCTACCTTAAAGTGCCCCCACCATAAATTCACAACACATTTTGTCTAATTCATTGTGAAATTTTAAAAGCGTGTTTACTGTAGGAAAATTCCAATTCTGCCATCCTGTTTTTTTTATTTAATTTCTTTAAATCTTATAAGAGCTTTCAAGATAATGAATTCTAATACGACATAAGAATGCCGAAGAATAATACATTCACCCCTGTAAAGTAAAAATATTAAGATTAATTAAAAATCTGTCTTATTAAACTTACAGTATATCAATTGCTCTCTTTGTAGAGGGTCAAGATAGTCATTCCTCACTCGATTGTTTGGTTAATGACAACTTTTAGCTCTCGTTATCATTACATTAATTCTTTTTCTCAATAATAGTATAATAATTTATTACTACTCATACTGCTACTACTAATAATAATAATACTAATTATTATTTTTATTTTCGGGAGCACAGTATATGGATACCTGGTTACCTCATGTCAGTAAGACAAGTGAATTGTTCAGCCTTATATTATTAGACACAAATGAATATATCAGCAGTGTACTCAACCCTACTTCATACGACAGTTAATCTAGCCAAGTCATATTCCATCACACAGAATAGGCTTTATACATCAAGCTGAGAGACTGCAGTATTGCACTGAGCACATCGTCTAGTATTCCATTATGAATTTAATAGGCATTGGACCTTCGAAGGTTTCGTTCCAGAAGAACTGGAGTATTACTATTACTTGGAAATTTAATCTCTCGGGATGACCAATCCCTCCACTGATAACTGGACATTGAATTAAGTAACGTTGAAGGTCGTGAGCCTCCTTTTTTTCACAGAGCTTCTTGGATTAGGCAGCGTTGGGAGGTTGACACAAGTATTTTGTAAATTAGGAAACTCTTAGGGTTCATCCGTACATGTTTCATATTCTACAGAATAAATATCAATGAAATATGTTATAACAGACGAAGCAGAACTACATGAATACGTAAATATTTTCATTAATAAATAATCTGGCTATAATTATTGTTAAAAAGGTATAATTAATTAATTTGTTTTTAAAAAAGGCACGTATATAAATAAATGGTCTTTATATTAGCCCTTGTCTTTGTTTTGCTCATGTCTTATTGTTACATGTGAATGGATCAAGTGCTAAGTGTGATGGAACCACGAGAAAGATAAGAAGAGAAAAGTATAGGTAGGAAATGGGGTGGGGACGATAGATAAGAGTAGATTTTAGAAAAGGGGTAGAATGAATTAAAAAGATACCCAGTATCCCATAGAGTGAAACGTCGTCTAAACTGTAAATGTTTCAGTCTCATACCTGCTAGATTTTTTGAACACTCTTGTTAAGGATGCACTGTGTCTAGTACCTCAACAATTGGAAGAAATAGACTTTCCGAGAGCTTTCTATAAATGTGATTATATTGTAATTATACAGAATGCGTACAAAAGTACTAACTTGAAAAGTTGGCAGATGTATCCTCATATTCCTAAAAAAATAAAAACCGAAAGACTTATTGTCAACTGAGTATTTCCCCGGCTTTAATCCAGGTGATTTTTGGTCTTGTAGTCTTTGCCTTGTATCTTACCAGAAGGAACATTATCTCCATCTCTAAGGATTTGAAATCCTGCTTATTAATATTATCATTAGCATTTGATCTCATGATAACTGTACCAAAAATTATTGATAATGCACTTCCGTGATTTTAATTTTCATGTATAATTTCGTTTTAAAATAAAAATAAACATTATTATTATTTGAAATATTATCATATTTTTGCACACATGGTTCACAATAATTTTTTACTTGATGAGAACACTTCGTTCCCTTTGAGACTACAAGTACGAGGGTGAGTAAACAACACAGTGTTTACTCACCTGGTAACCTCACGTGAGTGAACTTCAGCACATTATACTGGTACCTGGTAACCTCACCTGACTGAACATAATCATAGTGTCAAGATATCTGGTAACCTCACGTGAGTGAACGCATTAAATAAACAGTACTAAATAGCAAAGTCAATTCAAAACTCTACGGACTAGGCCCGCCACGTTTCACTTACTATGCCCTACGACATTCCGGTAAAAGGAAAAAAACCACAAATTATTTTACCTATTCATTACAGAGTAATTTTGTTATTAGCATAGACAGGTGTAAGTAATTAATCGAGCGCTGAAAACGGCAAGTAAAAAGGCAAGCATCATTAATCAATATATTATATAGGAAAGACTCTATTGCCATTTTGATGTGGACAAACGGACTATAGTTCCATAATTATCTCTTTAAATTCTTATCTTCAGTGTTAAACGGTGGATTTTGTGCATTTGAAATTGTTAGGTATTTGTCTGTTTTGGAAGCCTATCTTCAGAATTCCACCAACGTGTTTTGAATTTCAGTTCAAGCAACTCAGTCCTTTGCGACTACCAGATGTTGATTATCAGTTTCTTGCTTTGCCGCTTAACTTGCTGGTGCCAGAGTGCGTGTGTGTGTGGGTGGGGGATGGGATTAATTATCGATTTGTGCTCGAAGAGTCCACACAAGTGTTACACCAGGGCTACACCAGAGCCATATTATGGTCTCAGTAGAGCCACACTAGGGCGCTACCTAATTACAAGGTAAAAAGAGCAAGTCCATTGTCACCTGCCCACTGTCACCGACAAAGACAATATTCTTACTCAACAGCTCTCTTAACATTATTGTAATCACCGTTCCTCACCTTGCTATCTCCATCCCTCCACTCTTCCTCCATCATCGACCCTTACCTATCCCAGCCTCATTTTTCCCTCTCTGGCCTTCCTCACACCTCTTCCCAACCGAGCCCCAGCCTACATCAACTGCCCCTGTCTCGTACATCAAGTCATAATATTGCTAAACATCTTTAGCTAGCAGTATCGCTGAGCGAGTAAATAAAAATATCGCGGGATGCATCACCTCCTGTCTGGGGATGTGTTACATATAATATCACCTCCAGGTATTGGATATTTTTTTTACCCCTCTTTGTGTGATGCACTGAAATTGTTGGGCCAAACCTCGTTACCTCGTAGCCTTCAGGCACCGTAAGACCCCTCAGTAATTTAACACTTCCCAAGAATGTAATAAAAAGTTACGACTACTAGTACCACTACTACAAATAATAATAATAATAACAACAATAATAATAATCATGAAATAATGAAACCTACAAACATTTCAGCCAATGTTTCAAGAGCATAACGATGCCAGTCTAATATACACACTGGAACTGCAGTATCGTCGAGTGAATCATTACATGAATATGCAAGTGTCTCACACATATCAAGTTTGTCCAGTCGAACTTGTTTGCGAGATTTTGTCTTTAAGTATTTGCTCTGCAGCTAGTGCCCTCTCATCACACTGATAAAATATATCTTAGTAAATAAAATTTTACTCTAGTTCCTCGGATGCAGTTCACTGGTTGAATGCTAAAATCAATATGTTCACTGAGTCTCCCAGTGAACGCAAATTTTATCTAGCCAGCGTTAATTAGACATAATCCTGGATTTTTAGTTCAGAATTTTCGACTTTATCACCTCAGCACCAATATTTTACAGAAGCGGCTGATATATCCCCGCAATCTGTAATGGTAACCGAGTGTAAGGAGAAGTACAGGTGTCACTGAGAAAGGGAGATTCGGGATTAAATAAATTAAAAGATAAAAGAAAGATTAGTGAAAGTAGCTTGAGTTAATTGGATCAAGAACCCTTCGCCAACATTAGGGCATTCCATCAATATTTGAAATCTGTAAATCCTCAATGATGCCCCATTAAGGACATTTCCAATGTTTTTAGTAATGTTTCATAACTGAAATTTCTCACTCCTGGAATATATCTGATCTTTAGGTAGTTTTCCTATTTAACTACTGCATATATTTCTTATAGGGCCAGATACTAGCAGAGCTGCATTTTCCACTTGTAAGGATATTCATCATTGGACATATTTAAACTCTGATAAATTTACATTTTTATTTAATGAAGCTCTACGTAGAGTGAAACTTAGTCTGTAAATAAAGGTTAAATTCGCACACTATCTTTTCTAACTTGCAAAGTTGCACCAAGTATCTTCGTTGGTGTTTCAGTAGACTAAAAAAAATTTATTTGGAAAACTACCTAGAGTATGTGCATGTGACCATCAAGTGTTGATGTTCAATTAGAAAATATATTTTAAAATATAGAGATAACAGAAAATTCAGAAGAGATACAAATACATGAAAGGTGAGTAGGAAGGTTTGAAGTTGTAACTGGCACAGAGTTGCAGTATGATTTTGAGATGTGAACTACAAGAAATTATATATTTACAAAACAGAGGAAACAACGAAAGTGTCTATCCTCGAAGGACAATAGTTAAAACAAATCGAAAGAACTAAAGATTCAGTCATCAGTGAAGAGCAAAGCCAATGTTGGAGAACAAGGAAACAAGAAGAAAGCAAAGGGGAGCTATGTGAAAATGGGGGAACGAGGAGTAAAAAAAAAAAAAAGCGAGGAAGAGATGGCTGAATCGAAACCAGCATCAGCGGAAACGTGAAAAAAGTAGACCCAGGAATATCAGTGATCATGAAAAGAGCTGCAAGGAGAGCCACACTAGATAGGCAGATGGTAGAGCTGCTGCGATAAAAATCAAATTCAGATGTAAAATTATATCTGAACAAATATCAGAGAACATAGAGGACTGAATGAAGGGATAGGACGGAGGGAGGGAGAGACGAGAGATCGTTACAGCTAGAGACTGAATATAACGAAGAAATCACATTTTTTTTACTGTAACATGGATTAAAATAAATAAAATATTAGCTGGAAAAATAATTTTCCAGAGAACGATAGTGAGAGAATAAATCCCAGGGCAAAAAACTGGATATCAAATAGAGTGAAATACTGGATGGTATATTTTCAGGATGTCCAAACAATGTAATAGAGAGAGAAAGCAAAGAACAGCTCACAGAGGAATAGACAGGGACACGAGAGCGACAGGAAAGGAAATCCATCATGGCCAAGACAAGGATATATGGAATCGGCAGGAACCCCAATCTCCCTTCAAACCTCAGAAACTCACCTTCTCCTTAAACCTCGGGAACCCCCTCCCCTCAAATTTCGGTAACCACTCTCCCCCCTTAAACCTCAAACTCCATTCAGACCTCAGGAATCTACCCTCCCCTTAAACCTCATAAATCCACCCTTCCCTTAAACTCCAGAAACCTCCTCCCCTCAAATTTCGGTAACCTCTCTCCCTCATACCTCAAACTACTTTCCCCTTAAACCTCAGCAATTCCTTCGGAAATCCATTATTTCCTTATCTCATAGAGCATCTGCCTATATCCCCAATTCAAAATTTATCCACTTCAGCCCCCAACACCAAGTCTTCCAACATTCTAGCCCCCAACATCCTGACCCCAACACCCAGCCACATTCTACTTGTAACTTCTTCCCTCACCACGACTTTTACCAAAACCTTTCACAGTCAGCTTACCTCTTGCACCTCCACAATTCCACATAAGCAATACAATAAGTTTCCGCCAATAGTAGTCTCACTAATGAAGACAGGAACCAGGAGACCTGGTAGTCATTAGGTGAGCACCTAATGTGAAAGGAACATTATATTTTATTTGATGGTTATGAACAAGTGGCATGCACTAGAGATGTAGTGGCAGCTGCCATGCATAGGTCTCATACTTGGCGCCCATACTTGGCTCTCATACATGGTTGTCACACATGGTCTCGTAGATGGAGTCAGGGTTAAACAGGACAAGGTGAATAGATCAGTGAGTAAACCACAAATGGTATTCGATAACCAAAAGCGGAAAACGGAAATACTGCACAACAAAGTTTAATAGATAGAAATTTACATTCGGCTAAATTTTTATCGAGTCGTAAAGCTCTAAAAGAGCGAAACTTTGTCCTATTAACAGTCTGTTCTTTCACCTTTGTCTTTTCTATGGTGAGCACCAACTCTTGGACCACCTATGAATTAGAGCTTAGTCCCTTGCAGCTAAAACTATGCGTGTCATGTAGGTGCATGAACATTTCTATGAGGTATTCAGGTTCTTGTTGAGGGGTCGAAATGTACATTGAAGGATCCTCATGTGTGTATTTAGTACAAACAAGTGCACCGTAGACGATCCAAATGCATGTGTATTGGAGATTTCTATAGGTGTTATCAGAGATACAGGCATGCACTGGATGGCTGGAAACAATGTGGCCGCAGGTATGCGCTGAGAGTTGCAGGCATCTGCTTTGGGGTCTAACTTGAATTTCCAGACTTGTAAGCGGAAATCGAACTCACAACCTCGAATTCGAACAGCCTTGTCATTTACGGGATACCATCTTATTGGATGACACATTCTCTCCTCACAGGTCGCTGAGGACAAGAGGACCAACTGGAACAAGTTCCAGGGCTCCTGGGGCAAGCGAGGAGATGACCTGGCCGACGCAGAACTACAAGTAAGGTCACGGGTGTTTTTTTCTTGTATATTATTCAACGTTACATTAACGTGACTGGAACATACTGGCACTCCAAGAATTAAACGTGTAAGGCGAGATTGTTGAAATAAATAAACCCATACGTGTTTATAAACTTTTTAATTATCTTTAAATCTGAAACAACCTTCACACACCTGTGTCAGGTGCATCAAGGTCGTAACTGTATGTGTCCTATATCTGGCACTACTGTGTCAGATGTGTCAAGGTTGTAGCTGCATGTGTCCAGTATCTGGCACTACCGTGTCAAGGTTGTAACTGTTATGGATACCAGCCTTGAAAAGCGTACCACTAGAGCTGCTACTGGCTTTTGCTTTCGCTATCTCGGAGAGGGGATATCAATATTCTTAAGTTATTTTGTATATTAGTGATTGAAGGGAACGTTGTCATTTTAGTAATGAATGTATTTGTGTATTTCTCTCTCTCTCTCTCTCTCTCTCTCTCTCTCTCTCTCTCTCTCTCTCTCTCTCTCTCTCTCTCTCTCTCTCTCTCTTCTCTCTCTATCTATCTATCTATCTATCCATCTCTTTCTCTCTTTCTCTCTCTCCCTCTCTCTCTCTGACTGCACTACCTTTCTTTTCCTGTTAACCTCCCTCTCGCCCATCACTCATATTCCCCTCTTTCCCCAACAGCCTTCTTTATTATCTCCCCTCATTTCATTTTATCCACCATTACTCTCTTGCCGTACCTCTCACCAGCTCTCATCCTTCACAGACCGCTGAAGACAAGAGGACAAACTGGAACAAGTTCCAGGGTTCCTGGGGCAAGCGAGGAGACGACTTCACCGACGCTGATCTTCAGGTAAAGCAGGAGTACAACTCTTAATGGCAAGACACGCAAGACGACCTTTAGTCGTCTTGCGTGTGTGTGTGTAGGGGGGGGTTGTATGTGCGGGTGTGTGTTGGTGTGGGAGGGTGTGTTTCTATTTTTCCCGTTCGGCTTTCACAATATCTGTATCTGCCTGTTTGCTATCTCCAGTCAGAATTATCAAGGCGTCTGCCGCCTGATTTGCCTCTGTTCCACTAATTTACATGCAAAAAAGTTGAGATCAAAATGAAATCGAGAATCGTCTCATTGTTAAATCGGTTGATCAGCGTGAGGCCTTGTTGACCCGACAGATAACACCATCACTATAACAGGTTGAGGAAAACTTTAAATAAGTGTAGTGGACAGTTATCCAAAAGTCTTGCCCAAACACATGTACAAACACACACACACATACACAAACACAAAATGAAGAACTGCAGTGAATAAAGTATATAAAGGCCACGATAAATTCCTTGAAATTAGAAGGGAAGCAAAACAGTACGGGAATAGCAGTAATTAAGGCTGAATACAATACCCCAAAATACTGTACATTCAAACCAGAAGAAAATCTTCGATAAACTCTGACGTAATATTAAACAAACATAGGGAGAAATTCGCAGAAAAATCTGTAAACCACGTAACTGTAATATATGCAAAATAGGACCTTAAGAACCGCATACATTATTAGTAAGGGGGAAGCGCCTATGTAAATCTAAGTAATCGGATTTAATTCAAGGAAAGGGAAGGTAATTTAAATTCCTAGGATCAAGAGCCCTTGACCAGCCAACAGGCACTTCCCTAGTTAAGAAACGTATACATGAAGGTCAACGGTAAGGGATAAAAATTTCAGTACGAGGCTTCACAACACCTGACCTGCGAAACGAACATGAAACTCAAATGTAGTACCAGTCATTATGAATTAAAGACTCGAGGCATTAAACAAGAGATCGCTGACGCTGACATGCATGTTGTGCAAGGTTATGGAGACAATTTGATTTTTATTAAGTTGTCACTGCACAATACAAGCCGTTACTAAAAAATAAAAAAAATATATAAAAAGAGAAAGATATTGGCATATGGTTCCAGAGAGAAAACTTTCATAAAACTGTACACAACTAACCCGTACATAGTAGAGCGAAAAAAGCTTACGACGACGTTTCGGTCCGACTTGGACTAAGTCAGACCGAACGTTATCGTAAGTTTTTTTTCTCTCTATGTGCGGGTTATGTGTGTATTGTTCCAGTTACGTTACTGTGCCGTTATGTTCTTTATCATAAAACTGCATAATTTGGCTGGAGTGACTGGGAGTGTAACATAGTGGGAAAGAAATTAACGGAGAAACTATAGTCAGTGAGAAAAGTGTCAGAAATAACTACAAGTTCTTGATCCCCAAACTGGTTTTGATACGTCTGAATGATCTAACATGTACAATAGATTCCTACAAGTCAGAGTAATGCGGAGACTAGAATACAAATTAAGACTGAAAACATGCTACAGGGTCTAGTAAACAAGTAATTAGAATGGTTAGAGAAATTGGTTTACGAATTAATTCCCACATGAGAACAGTAGTGGTAGCAACAGTACCGTTGTTAATATTACTGAAAGGAAGATAGTTCCAAATCAGAGAGAGAAAAAAACCTAAGGGTTGACATCACTCATGAATCCTCTCACCTGACACACAAACCGGATAACGTAGCGGCAAATGTAAAGCTAGCAGAGTAATTTATCATAAATCTGCACATGAAGGATCCTAGAACACTACATGACATGCGACACCAGCATGAAGTCTTAATATCAAATAAATAAAGAAAATAGCTGTAGTGTTCAAATTCATGCGTGAGCATTTATGAGTTGGTGAACTCTGATCCTTTAATATTTTAACAGTGGCAATGATCTATTTACATTACTTTGATTTTCTCATCATTGCACCAGTTTTTCTGGTAAAACTCCCAGATATTAATCGTTGAGCTCTGGTCCTTTCAGTAATATTATACCAGTGACAATGACCTATTAACATTACGTTGATGATTTTCTCATCATTTCACCAGTTTTCCTGGGATAATCCCCAGACATTTAGACAAAGAAAAGGAAACAGGTTATGCGTGTAGAATTAAAAACAATGTTTGCGCAAACACATTAGTACCTCCACTCCCACGCACATCAGCGAACATCATTAATAAACTACGTACCTCGTGACGGGGAGCCCTTGACCCGTAGCCTTTGAAAGGTCTTAAGCTACAAAGCAGAACAATAGAGTATCAAGACTGCACTACCTCTTACCTCCCATGAGGAAGATAATAAAGGTCTGTACTAAAGAATTGATTCCACCTGACATGACCTACACAAAGTTATAATCCCTTACCTCACCCTCTAGGTGCCTTTGTTTTTGGTGGATGGTGTATAGGAGCATTGTTTTCTGTTTCCGCCGCAACACTTAGACCACTGAGTCTGACCGGTAAACCAGTCTTTACAGTGTTATGGAATGTCATAGGGTTAAGGGTTACCCCACTGTCGCATTCGTGAGAGCAGACACCACCCTCTAAATTATTCTGTTATTATTATTATTATTATTATTATTATTATTATTATTATTATTATTATTATTATTATTATTATTATTATTATTATTTCATAAGAGCACTGAAGTCCCCGTCTATAGTACGGCATTCCAGCGGCTGCATCGTTCCGCCGAAGTCTGACGGGTGACGGGAACTCCATATAAAAGTGGATTGAGCCACAGAGTTCTTAGAGCACATCATGGCTAACTCTGTACACAACAGTGGAGGGCTCGCATATGCAAGGACGTCGGGTTGGTCTCCTGCACCTTTTACATAATCCGTTATTTTTACTGTATAAAGTTAAATTCTCCGTTGTTGCCAGACAGGCAGTGTGCAACTACCCATAACGTATTGCATGCAATTATCTGGTTATTGCAGGACATTTTCATCTGTCTCTGGATAAAGAGTACTTAATGTATGCAATGTAAGTGAAGTACATAAATTTTTAAAGGGGCAAATACGCATCCCTCTGAGTTATAATTACATTGTGAATTAATAAATATCGTGGATGAAGAAAATAAACATTATTTAACTGAATATATCTCCACCACTGTCACTTCGCTTATATAATTTTTTTCTATAAAACAATGAAATGATGTAGATTAAATGAAATGCTGATGAATAAGATAATGAAGAATAATTTATTATACACCTTTCCCCAGACTGCCACCTCTCCCATACCTCTTCCCTCTCCCTTTCCCCTCCCATCCCCTCATGTAACACCAACCTATCTTCATATTTGATGCTGTTCTTGTTTGTGAGAGAATGCAGGCTTGAGATGTCACCATATACCCAACGTGCCAGATTTAAGCCATCCGTTATTGTTGGGTAATCAGTCGGAAACAGGTTAATATTAGATAACCTACTCAATCCAAATCTAATGTAATCGAGAATAACATTAAAATTTCGGGGAATCTCGTGCGCTCAGAAACGCACGAAGGGCAGTTCCAGTTAAACTGGCTGCCCTAAAGGGAGAAAAGGTTAGTCTGTCCTGTACTTTGTTCCATGGTCACAGATAGTGCATCATTAGGTCATGTGTGTGTGTGTGTGAGAGAGAGAGAGAGAGAGAGAGAGAGAGAGAGAGAGAGAGAGAGAGAGAGAGAGAGAGAGAGTTGCTAAGTGGTTTGTAGTACTTCATTCCCCAGGATGCAACCGACAACGGTCGACTAACACCCAGTACCTGTTTCCTGAAGGTTAACAGGGACAGTGTGTGTAAGGAGACTTGCCCATGTGCCTCGACTTGCCCAGGTTAGTGACAGACGCTGCTCCCACTCACACTTAACTATATTTCACAGGAAAAGGCAAACCATTACAATGGAAGAGATTTTCGGTTTTAAAGGAAAATGCTAAGAGTAATCGGAGAAGTTCACCAATGGGGTCCCACAAGGAGCAGGTTTTTCCTCCGATTATCTTTATTATTTATGTAAATGATTCTTCAGATGGAATAGAAACTTCGTGAACATGTTTATTGATGAAAAGATTGTATTGAAAATATGTTATAAAACTTAAATCCCTAGAAGATGGTTTATTGATTTACTAGATTAAAAGAGTGTCCACTACACAATGATCAATAATACATTAATTAATAAAATAAAGATCAAACTCAAATGTATATAGAGTGAGGGGAAAGACACTTCTCGTTATATATTCTCTCTCATCCCTACAAGAAGACCTGCATTAATTAAGGAGACAGTGACAAATGATTCAAAGACTAGGTCGATTAGCGCTATGTAATGAAAAGAGAAGAAAAGCAATAACAAGGAAATACGAAGTGTGTTGATTGTGATAAATTACTGAGAGCTTCGGACAAACTGATCTGGGAGGAGTCATTATGGACAACAGCTGATCCACAGAGGATCACTTAAATGAAATAGCTAGAATTCTTGTTAATCACGGGGCATGAGAGGTAATCAAGTTTAATTTAAGTCGAGGGCAGGTCCAATTTACTTAAATTTTCGCTTGCCTTATTCAGCAAGAAGAACGTTGCTATTTAAGCCAAAATCGCAAGTTTTTACCTATTCGGTACGTAAATTATATTATATATATATATATATATATATATATATATATATATATATATATATATATATATATATATATATATATATATATATATATATATATATAGGAGTCGAACCCATGCTGTTTTGGCCCGCCTCATGGTGAGAGAAAAACGCATGATGCGTGAGGCGGGCCAAAACACCATGGGTTCGACTCTTTGGCTAGTGCAGTGTGTTTATATAATTTTATATATATATATATTATATATATATATTATATATATATATATATATATATATATATATTTATATATATATATACAGAAACTACATAACTTACCTCGCACCTTACAGAGGTTTCTTCGTGGGGAGGCACCTTAATTTCTTGCTAGATATATTCCATGGCTAACAACACATGTTAAAGCCTCTTTGACACTCTTACAAGAGTCATTCACTTTCTTCAGAGTGACTTTACATAAAATACTATCATAAATACAAGACTTAGCTTATAAAGGCAAGCATTGTTTAGCCAAACACGTCGTGCGTATATTACTTTGGCTGTAAACACACGAAAGTCAGCGCGTAGAAAACGTACTTCGTATATTTTGTTAACGATAAGTAATGCTAGTTAATTTTAAGCTTGCATTGCAAACTGTGTACGATTAATTTTGATCATATACGCAGGTTATACGGTTAATAATATTATATTACGTTGGTTGCCAGATTAACTAATATTATATTCCGTAAGTTATAAGGCCACGTCAGGTTTCCGAGGTTTATTGAAATTGCTAAAATTTCTTTAAAGTGGTAATGACAGCAAGCCATAAGTAAAAAAAAAATCCATCCTGTTTATCCACAACAAATAGTTCTCGTTAACCTTTATAACACAAAAATGAATAAAACGTAAATAAAAATCAATTACTTCGTTGAAAAAGGTAACGTGCAAGGCATTTTCTTCTCGTTGTTTTTTTCCAAGGATGAGAATCCCTTCGTGATAAGAGAAATATTACCTGGCCAGCAGGACTCTCCTTCAGCTTCAAGGAACACGACACAAGTCATTTCACGGAATTCTCTCACTCTCCCTCACTCTCTCCTCCAGGTAGCTAACAATATTGACTACGTATTTCAGAACATTTTTGCCAGCTCCGAGAATCTCGCTTACAAACTTTCCTTATTAAATTCCAACCTTTGATTTTATCACTCACTGAAAAAAATTCTACCCTAAATTTTTTTGCAGATGGTTAGCTTGCTATTTCAATTAATGGGTGATACTGAGGGGACCCCATGAGTGAGTATTTTACTCATAGGGGTCGTACAGGTTCTGGGGAACGGGAATTAATGAAGTTAAATCTCTTGAATCAAGAGGCCTTCACCAGCGTCAAGTCATCCTCCCTTCGAAGGAACTATTAAATCATCTCCCAGGAATTTATTCAGTGTTCCTTTCCTCTCGTTCCAGGATGCTGCTCTAGATAAGCGAACAAACTGGAATAAGTTCCAGGGCTCCTGGGGAAAACGTGGTGACTGGAGCAGTCTTCAGGTCAGTGTTGAGTCACTCAGTCCAGTCTTTCTCTCTCTCTCCCCAGTTTCCCTATTGTACCTAGAAGGTACTGTGTATTCACCAAGGGGTGTGCGTATCTCAGTGATTTCACCAGAGGTGTGCATGCACCGAGATCTGTGTATTTATATTTATATGTATTCTTCATTCTTGTGAACAGGTGATGTACTAGCCTAATGACCAGTGGTATTGACCACTGTGTGTGTGTGTGTGTGTGTGTGTGTGTAGACGGGTTTCCCCACTCCCTCCCTGTAAATAGCACAACCAACTTAACAATGCATACAGTTGAGATCATCCCATTAGCCGAGCACCACCACCTAACTTTTCCAGTTGTCACGCGTCGGAAGTGATACCTACCCTAACTGTACACACAGCGTATCCTCTTTTCGATAGTGTTTTGGTTCCTGACCACAGCTAACATGACTTCCTATACCCTTACCAACAGGGAACTTGGGGCAAGAGGGCGTGGAAGAACCTGCAAGGGGCATGGGGCAAGCGCTCTCAGAACGACGCCGCAGATGATGACTTTTACAACGACGCCGCCACCCAGGAGGGCGACTTGGTCTCCGATGAAGCCCAAGATATCTCTTCCATGGCCTTGGCCAGGATGATGGCATCAGCAGTGCCACAGAAACGTGGCTGGACACTCTGGGGCAAGAGACCCGTCAACACCCGCGTCTCTCCACGCTCCACCAACTGGTCCAGCCTCAGAGGTTAGTCACTCCACTAGTCCAGCCTCAAAGGTCAGCCGCTCCCATGGACGGGAGTGGGTGACGAATTAATATACGGAATCGAAGTATGGAGACACCTCCCTTGAAGAATTCAAGGGAAGAAGAGCCCCATATATTTAGTTATTATGAACAATAAACCTACTATTTACTAGTAGCTGGTACAACTAGCAGAGAACATTAAAGTTAGTAAAGAATCAGTTTTAGTTGTAACAACAAGTGTCAAAAGCGCATCAAGTGCTAGTATTATACACCAGAAGTGCATACACAAAAGGTTAGCATTAGTAGTAAGTTAACTTAGCGGAAGAGGCAAATATGTAGTAAGTCAGATGATGTAGTGTTAAATGTTCATAAAATTCATACCCGCAACAAATAGGCAGAAAAATATGGTAGCAAGCAAATTTGTACCTGAAGTATAAACTTAGTTCTAATAACGAAGACGATAATGCCAGATTATATATGTATGTATGTATGTATGTATGTATATATACATTTTATATATATATATATATATATATATATATATATATTATAATATATATATATATATATATATATATATATATATATATATATGCAATAAGATCACAGTAAACAGGTGATTTCAAAATATGCAAAACAACCACTGTGAAAGAATAGAGAAATTCCAAGCGCTTTCGTGACTACTCACATGTGAGTAGTCACGAAAGCGCTTGGAATTTCTCTATTCTTTCAGAGTGGTTGTTTTGCATATATATATATATATTATATATATATATATATATATATATATATATATATATATATATATATATATATATATAAATGCATCCGCAGAACAAAGTGGTTTTAAGCAAATACAACACTGCGACCAGCTGGGAATCAAACCCAGAATATTTAGCCCGGCTCCTGGGAACCAATCAAACCTCCCGACTCCATTAACCACTTGGCCACCATGCTACAAACACCAGGGACCCAGCAACTATACTGGTATAAATCAGCTTCTCTGAATCACTATATAAATATTTACTCTGGGACGTTCTATACTTATCTTTTTATTTACTTTTGATTTACTCACCTAGTTGGTAAATCTATTCTGTCTGCTCTTTGCTATATGAGAGATCTCAACAATCCCGTCTCCACTCTCAGTATTGTAATTTTCTAACCACCACATTGACTTCTAACGTCTACACTATATTTCTGTATAAATATTCACACCACACTCTGCTCTCAAACATTATATTTACACCGCTTCTACTCTCCTCACTTCAACGTTTAAATCCCTTGCCTTGTAATCATATGATATTTTGTATCCACTGATAAATTTCTTTCCTTGCAAAGATGTCTGAACACACCATCTACCTTTGTTCTCCTTATCCATTCCATTGTTCACCCCGTCTCACTGACTCGCGTTTTTCCTCCTCTGCTCCTGCCAGATCTTATTCCTCCCTGCGCAATGCATGAAATCCCTGCTTCCCGTTCATCATCGAGACTTAACAACTCAAAATATGCTTCCGAATATATCTCCATCGCCTTATTCGTGTTTATTGACCAAGTCTATTTGTTCCCTGGCATCTCATCTAATTAATCTCTCACCATCTCATCTAATTAATCTCTCACCATCTCATCTAATTAATCTCTCACCATCTCATCTAATTAATCTCTCACCATCTCATCTAATTAATCTCTCACCATCTCATCTAATTAATCTCTCACCATCTCATCTAATTAATCTCTCACCATCTCATCTAATTAATGTCTCACCATCTCATCTAATTAATCTCTCACCACCTCATCTAACTAATCTCTCACCACCTCATCTAACTAATCTCTCACCATCTCATCTAATTAATCTCTCACCATCTCATCTAATTAATCTTCTCAGCATAATTTGTTAACAGGCACTCATCCATTCTCTCATACTCTTTTAACTCCACCTCCAGCTTCTTGTTGAACCTTATTTTAATATCTATATACTCTTCCTTCCGCACATGAAGACGATGATCAGGAAGGAAATAGTCATATATAAAGTACTGTGTTAGTAAGGAAAAGACTGCTGGACAAGCGAGGAGAGAAGCCTAGATGCAAATGGCAGCTATTGACAAAGGAATCGCAGTAACGTTAGGAAGTACTGTTTTTATTCGCACTAGTAATGGCTAGTACTAGTAACGAAGAGGCGGCAGCGTCAAAAACTTGCGAAGTTGCATGAATAGAAATGATTGGGCCCTGGTTGAAAAGAGTTGATCATTGCAACTATGCTCGTACACACACACACAACTAACAATACCATTCTCCCACAGGTACATGGGGCAAGAGGAGTGCAGACTGGAATAAACTGAGGGGCGCCTGGGGCAAACGAGCTGACTGGGACCAGTTCCGAGGATCCTGGGGCAAGAGGGTTCCTGGTAAGTGTGTGTGTGCGTGTGTGTGTGTGTGTGTGTGTGTGTGTGTGTGTGTGTGTGTGTGTGTGTGTGTGTGTGTATGTGTGTGTGTGTGTGTATGTGTGTGCATGCGTGCGTGCGTGCGCGTTTTTTACCCAGCCACGTCAGGTGTGCATGACCACCCAGCTCTCTCCTACTGTGTATATAAAGATAACTAAAAGTGTGAGAGGAAATTAGGGAAAAACATTCTTTACAGATTGTAATGTATTTCATTAAGTGCTAAACTAGTAAGAACTGATAGAGGCTCGATCCTCCGTTTTAAGTTTTTTATACAGTAAATTATTACAGTCAAATAAAGCGCTATTTGTATACAGTAAATAATGTGATGTAATCAGCTCACACCGTAAGTAGCTCTCAGTGTAAGGTCACGGTGTAAGTAGCTCTCAGTGTAAGGTCACGGTGTAAGTAGCTCTCAGTGTAAGGTCACGGTGTTTAAGTAGCTCTCAGTGTAAGGTCACGGTGTAAGTAGCTCTCAGTGTAAGGTCACGGTGTAAGTAGCTCTCAGTGTAAGGTCACGGTGTAAGTAGCTCTCAGTGGAAGGTCACGGCGTAAGTAGCTCTCAGTGTAAGGTCACGGTGTAAGTAGCTCTCAGTATAAGGTCACGGTGTAAGTAGCTCTCAGTATAAGGTCACGGTATAAGTAGCTCTCAGTGTAAGGTCACGGTGTAAGTAGCTCTCAGTGTAAGGTCACGGTGTAAGTAGCTCTCAGTATAAGGTCACGGTGTAAGTAGCTCTCAGTATAAGGTAGAACACGGTACGAAACAACTCACAATACAAGCATTAATAAATAAGGAAATGCTTCATTGTATTGTGTCTTTGTTCACTTCATCTGCATTGTTAATATTACAATTTTGAGTCGCCCTGTGTTGTACCCGGGCGTAAAAAAAACGTTTTGAACTTTTAGGTAAACTAAATAATAATAATAATAATAATAATAATAATAATAATAATAATAATAATAATAATAATAATAATAATAATAATAATAGTAGTAGTATAACCAGCCACGTAACATCGTAAATACGAATGTATAACGAAAGACAGTACGGATATCCATGGTGGGTTAACTGGAGCCAAATCACAAGTGTCTTGCGTCTGATAGTACACGAAGCCTCGACCAGCTGGCGTCCAGGCTTCACTACTAATGAAGTCGTGTGTGAGAGGCCATACGAGGTATATCCAGGCTTCCCGGGGACGTATTGCTTGCAGTGTCTCCGCGGATTGTCTATTGCTTTTCTAAAGAAATTCAAGAAATATATAATATGGGGACCTGAGTGCATCTCAACTTTCCTTTTCCCCTAATGTGTGTGTTTCATACCTCGCCTTAAAACTATGTATGGTTCCCGCCTCCACTACTTCACTTTCTAGGCTATTCCACGGCTTGACTACTCTATGACTGAAGAAATACTTCCTAACATCCCTTTGATTCATCTGAGTCTTCAACTTCCAATTGTGACCTCTTGTGTGTGTGTGCGCGCGCGCGTGTGTGTAGAATATTTTTTTTTTCATTATTTCGGTTATGTGGTTTTATGATGCCATTCTTGAACTGTAGTGTAAACACGCCTCTGGCAAGACAGTGATGGAGTGAATGATGATGAAAGTGTTTCTTTTTTTCAGGCCACCCTGCCTTGGTGGGAAATGGCCGATGTGTTAATAAAAAAAATCGTAGTAACTTCTCCATCCTTCCATATTTTGTTACAGCTTATATTCTTCATGCGGCCCAATTTTGCTTTTCCCCATTTTTATAAGTAGCAATAGTAGTAGTAGTGGCAGTAGTCGTAGCAATAGTAACTGTAGTAGTAAGAGGAAAGAGCAATAATCGTAACAATAGGAGTACTATCAGTAATTATAATAGTAGCATTTAGTAGTAATAGCTGCAGTTAATAGTAATAGTAGCAATAACAGTAGCAGAAATAATAGTAGCAATAGTAGTGGCAGCATCATTAAGTGTGGCGGTAGCAGTGATTATCTCGCAGTATATAAAAGTCGTCATTTTATCTCCCACCTTAAATCTGTTAACATGAATGGCTTGTACCCTTTTAATTGCTCGATCAATAATGTTTTCTCCCCACCAATTACTTTTTTTCATGTTCGTAAATTAGGCGGTGGGTTTTTTGCCTCTCCGCTGATGTGAAAGCAAGAACCACTGCGAGTAAAGTGTTCAAGGGCTTTCTCAATAAACATGATCATCCATTTTAGTCTAGGGAAAAAGTGTCATTGTAACCTCATTAATCCATAATCCAATTATTTAAACGTCCAAAAATCTTTCACATACTTGAACAAACAAAATCTTTGGAAAACTTACCCGCACCCTTTCCTCTACCCCTTCTCTCACTATATATATATGTCGTGCCGAATAGGTAAAACGGTAAAACTTGCGATTTTGGCTTAAACAACAACGCTCTTCTTGCCGAATACGGCAAGCTAAAATTTGTGTATGCAATAATTTCGCAAAAATCATTCTGACTCTAACGAAAAAAAATATTGCATTGCATTTGTTTATTAAATTATTGTAAACTTATCTAAAATATATTTAGTTGGATTAGGCTAAATTAAATTTCGCTTGTTATAATAAGGTTAGGTAAGTTTTCTAAGGTTCTCTTGGTACAAAATTATATTTTTTTACATTAACATAAATTAAAAAAAATATATCTTGAAGTGTAAGAGAAAATTTTAGAAAGGACTTAATTTTAAATGAGTTCTTGCTAATTGACCAGTTTTACCTATTCGGCACGACATATATATATATGTCGTTTGTGTGTGTGTGTGTGTGTGTGTGTAAGTAATCAGATCAAAAACATTTTTGATCGTCTTATTTCATTATTATTTATTTCTGTCTTGTATTATCTTGTGAGCATGTTATAATGAATTAGCGAAAATAAATTGGTATTAGGGTTTCCCGTACTTTTGGAGTGTGAGTAAGATAATGTGTATAAAGAAATTCAGGAAAATCTGTTTGCCGGACTGGAGTCCTACAGGTGGGAGGTACAGTGCCTACACCCCGAAGGATAGGTGGAGATGTTGCAATTTAAAGGGTCATTTTATATGTGATGCCTTCGCACATCTGAAAAAGAAAAAGAGGAGGCGAATGTGTTTGTCTTCTTTGTATCAGCATGGGTCGGCATTCCACCAGTTTTCGTGTCATTAACATCCCATTTATCATCGTAACTCTTATGGTCATTGTTTACGTTCTGTTCTCGACTCATTGCAGCCATTCACCGTTTTCTCTCTCTCTTATTTCAGGCGCTCTGAGTGAAGCGACACCTCAGGCTTAAGCTGGTGTCTCGGTGTGACTTCCATGGATCACCACGTCTCTCACGGCTCACCACGGATATGTCTCCTTTCCTGTATGTCTCCCTCCACCTGTGTCACCCTCCCTACACACGTGTCACCTTATACTGGAGCCTCCTCCTGTGGCTCAACATTTTTTCAATACATGTATCGACCTGACACCTCCACATCCAAGCATACCTCCACCTTGACACCTCCAATTGTCGCCCTTCATCGTTCTGCCACCATTTTTTATATTATCAGTTGTTTCTGGTAACTACCAGACCCTTGTAATAAGCTTTACCTCACAAACCGAGGAATTATATTTTTCGTTCAAATGAGACCTAAATGACATCTGCTTAATGACTACTTAATTAAACTCCCGTTGTAAAAAAAAAAAAAACTAAAGACTGAGAGAATTTTATATTTTCAGCTCGGTACAAAGACTATCTTCAAGCGGATGTAAACAGTGACATATTTATCAAGCGACACAACATACTGGTGAGCTCTCAACAAGCGACCTTACTGCCGATTCCGTGGCATGTCTATTCTGCATTGCCCTTGCGAGCTATTGGAATTCGAAACACCTACAATGACGAAGGATTCCATTATTGTTTTCGCAACCACAAAGGTCGTCTTACAATAAGAGTGGATGTTCGTTTTATAATTCTAGTAAGATTGAGGATGACGGAATTTTTTTAAGAATACTCTGTGGATCGCTTGTGTTCGACGATTCTAGTGTTGAGGTTAAAACCTGTTTGACTAGTGTATAACATTGGAAACATTTGTGCTGCAACAGCTGTTCTGACATTACAAGCGAAAATCATCTGCCAATGCAGAGGTTTCAAATACCAGCATCTCACGAGGACAGTGGAAACCTGACGCTATCACGGCGCTGATAGTGAGGTCACCTATTTCTAGTCCGCCTGTAAAACGCATAACTTGATAAATAATCTCTTCATTTCACATACTGTTTGAAGAGTGTTTCATATCTGAGATCATCGTATAAGGCTGCATCTCATATCAGTTTTCCTTTCCAAAGATAAATACAACTTAAATACACCATTGCGCTACTATACTGCTTTTTTTGAGATATTATACATAATCAGAATCATGACTGTTACTTTAGAAAAGGATACTTTTGATTTAGATAAAAATATAGACATGCAAACTGTTTGGTTGTGTTGGATCTTACAGAAACAGAACCAAATTTCATGAAAAACAGTATTTCTGAAATAAATGACACTTCACAGTTTGCAAAAAATATTTTCCCAATGCTGTAGTTGAAAAAAAGTGTCAATAGTGGATCAAAATGTATGTATGTTTAGCGGTTTACTTGCGGGACACAACCGTACTGTTACATGTTGAGTTACAGCTCCTGTTCTTGTGAATCATTTGATAACTGTTAATTACTATTAAGCACAGAAGAGGGTTTCAGCTGGAGGCGAGAGTGTGCAGTCGAGAATTATGTCCTTATTCATGCTAAATCTATTTTTCATTGTCCATATACAAGCAAATTCTACATCCATATTAATAGAACATAGATGTAAGAAAGAGTAATTTATAATATAGAAAACAAGAGGTTCAATTGATATTTTTGGTGTGTATTTTAACTATCGTAGATGAGGGGTTGTTGTAACTGCTGTGCAGAGTATGTGTGTGTGTGAGTGCATGTGTGGTATCCTAACACCACTATGTGACACAGAAGTATGTATGTGTTGCATTATGAATCCACTTTGTAGCACAGTATGTGTGTGGAGCATTGTGAACCTAGTTTGGGACTAATGAGCAAGTTCCTGCTGAGATTTGGAGAGCGACCTTCATCAGGGGTATTGGCCAAGTGTACCCAGGTCGAAGGAAAGGTCAACACTCCAAACTTCTTACTTCAGTGGGGTAAATATTATATGTATATGGATGGATGCAGAGATATGTTGACTAGTTACTAGTACGTGTGTGTAAGATATACGGTCAATAAAATGCTGCATACCCTCCTCCCTAAGTGAGTTTTACTGCACCCTCTCCCGACCCTAACATAACACCACTTATTATGTTACGTGGAAGGACGCATGTGGAACTAATGTGACATATTACTGTGGCAACGTTTCGCCCACCAGGAAATTTGTTAAGCCATTACACACAAGGACACAGAAGGTATACAGGTAATAATAAAGTGAGTCGTTAGTTGCAGCATATGTCCTTTTTACCAAGTATATTGCCGGTAATTCTGTCAGCATTATTACGTTTTTTTATACAGGCTAGGAAGCGCTAAGCTCGTAGGTGTCGTACGAAACCTGCAGAATGGGAGGTAATGAGGCTTGAACCAAGGGTGTGATAGTTCCAACTCCTTGAATCAAAATCCTTCAGCATCAAGGACACCCCTCTAGAGAGTGACAGCTAACTAGCTGACCGTCCTCACTATCATTCAGGGAACTGATAGCACTCTGGTTCTAGTTTTCACGAGGCATTATCTAGCCAACGATACTAGTGAAAGGGGTCTTACTTCAAGGAATTAGAGGTACCCTGCTCTTCCTTGGATCAAACCTGATTATTTCCCATTCCTCAGGAACTCTATGACCCCTACAGGATTAGAGCTTCCCCATAAAAGCAAGGGTGGTGTACTACGCTAGGCGCTGCTCACTGACTCCCTCTTTGACTATGTCGGTGATAGATATATTACACAAACTTTGCAATTCCTTCAGCACTCGTCACCTCCCTTCCTAACTCTCCCTGTTATACTCTCCTCCCTCTCTAGTCTCCGATCAAGAATATTAAATCTTTAGCACGCCCTACCCTGCAGCGTTGCATGGCCCTTGTGGGTTTAGCGTTTAGTTGTGATTATAATAATAATTCACCTACTGCTGCTTTCAAGAATAAATTTGACGTTAAGTACATCGTCTAGGAAATGAGAGAAGGGAGGATAATCGGGTTTAATCCGAAGATAGGGAAGAGGTCCAGAGTCCTTCCCCAGCATCAAAGCCAACCTCTCCTCCTCTCACGACATCGATGACTAATTAATATAACTGCAATAAATGGTTATAAATGACCATAATTTTTAAAGAGGTGGACCGGTAAGCCAGCGGAAGGCCTCGGTCAGATGACCAAAAGCTCCAATGGCGGGTCATCATCTGACTAAGACCCGCGGCAGGAAACACTTGTCCTGTTTCCTGACGAACCTTACTGACCTAATCGATGAATAAACAATTCCCATACGGGTTTAGCGCTTGTTTTCGGAATATAATGACGAAGTTAAACAATTATCGAAAAAAAGTAGTCACTGTAAGTCAAGGCGCAACAATATTTTCAGAAGAAAAGCGCTGCACCAGCACGGGTCATACACTGCCATGGTAGCTGCAACAGCATGGGTCATACACTGCCATGGTAGCTGCAACAGCATGGGTCATACACTGCCATGGTAGCTGCAACAGCATGGGTCATACACTGCCATGGTAACTGCACCAGTATGGGTCATACACTGCCATGGTAGCTGCAACAGCATGGGTCATACACTGCCATGGTAGCTGCAACAGCATGGGTCATACACTGCCATGGTAGCTGCAACAGCATGGGTCATACACTGCCATGGTAGCTGCAACAGCATGGGTCATACACTGCCATGGTAGCTGCAACAGCATGGGTCATACACTGCCATGGTAGCTGCACCAGTATGGGTCATACACTGCCATGGTAGCTGCACAAACATGGATCATACACTGCCATGGCAGCTGCATCAGTATGGATCATACACTGCCATGGTAGCTGCACCAACATGGGTCATACACTGCCATGGTAGCTGCACCAACATGGGTCATACACTGCCATGGTAGCTGCACCAGCATGGGTCATACACTGCCATGGTAGCTGCACCAGCATGGGTCATACACTGCCATGGTAGCTGCACCAACATGGGTCATACACTGCCATGGAAGCTGCACCAGTATGGGTCATACACTGCCATGGTAGCTGCACCAGTATGGGTCATACACTGCCATGGTAGCTGCATCAGTATGGGTCATACACTGCCATGGTAGCTGCATCAGTATGGGTCATACACTGCCATGGTAGCTGCATCAACATGGGTCATACACTGCCATGGTAGCTGCATCAACATGGGTCATACACTGCCATGGTAGCTGCACCAACATGGATCATACACTGCCATGGTAGCTGCACCAACATGGATCATACACTGCCATGGTAGCTACACCAACATGGGTCATACACTGCCATGGTAGCTGCACCAACATGGGTCATACACTGCCATGGTAGCTGCACCAACATGGGTCATACACTGTCATGGTAGCTGCACCAACATGGATCATACACTGCCATGGTAGCTGCACCAACATGGATCATACACTGCCATGGTAGCTGCACCAACATGGGTCATACACTGTCATGGTAGCTGCACCAACATGGGTCATACACTGCCATGGTAGCTGCACCAACATGGATCATACACTGTCATGGTAGCTGCACCAACATGGATCATACACTGCCATGGTAGCTGCACCAACATGGGTCATACACTGCCATGGTAGCTGCACCAACATGGATCATACACTGCCATGGTAGCTGCACCAACATGGATCATACACTGCCATGGTAGCTGCACCAACATGGATCATACACTGCCATGGTAGCTGCACCAACATGGATCATACACTGCCATGGTAGCTGCACCAACATGGATCATACACTGTCATGGTAGCTGCACCAACATGGGTCATACACTGCCATGGTAGCTGCACCAACATAGGTCATACACTGCCATGGTAGCTGCACCAGCATGGATCATACACTGCCATGGTAGCTGCACCAACATGGATCATACACTGTCATGGTAGCTGCACCAGCATGGGTCATACACTGCCATGGTAGCTGCACCAGCATGGGTCATACACAGCCATGGTAGCTGAACCAGGATGGGTCGTTCACTGCCATGGTAGCTGCACCAGCATGAGTCATACACTGCCATGGTAGCTGCACCAGCATGAGTCACACACTGCCATGGTAGCTGCACCAGCATGAGTCATAAACTGCCATGGTAGTTGCACCTGCATGGGTCATAAACTGCCATTGTAGCTGCGCCAGCATGGGTCATACACTGTCATGGTAGTTGCACCAGCATGGGTCATAAACTGCCATGGTAGCTGCAACAGCATGGGTCATACACTGCCATGGTAGCTGCAACAGCATGGGTCATACACTGCCATGGTAGCTGCAACAGCATGGGTCATACACTGCCATGGTAGCTGCAACAGCATGGGTCATACACTGCCATGGTAGCTGCAACAGCATGGATCATACACTGCCATGGTAGCTGCAACAGCATGGGTCATACACTGCCATGGTAGCTGCAACAGCATGGGTCATACACTTCCATGGTAGCTGCAACAGCATGGGTCATACACTCCATGGTAACTGCACCAGCTTGGATCATACACTGCCATGGTAGCTGCAACAGCATGGGTCATACACTGCCATGGTAGCTGCACCAGCATGGGTCATACACTGCCATGGTAGCTGCACCAGCATGGGTCATACACTGCCATGGTAGCTGCACCAGCATGGGTCATACACTGCCATGGTAGCTGCACCAGCATGGGTCATTCACAGCCATGGTAGCTGCACCAGCATGGGTCATACACTGCCATGGTAGCTGCACCAGCATGGGTCATACACAGCCATGTAGCTGACACCAGCATGGGTCATACACTGCCATGGTAGCTGCACCAGCATGGGTCATACACTGCCATGGTAGCTGCACCAGCATGGGTCATACACTGCCATGGTAGCTGCACCAGCATGGGTCATACACTGCCATGGTAGCTGCACCAGCATGGGTCATACACTGCCATGGGAGTGTAAGTTATCCTCCATTAACTTGATCCAAGTTAACAGAGGACAGTTTTAGTTCCTTGGATCAGGAATAATTTTCTTCACTAATGTTTATACATTGTCCAGAACAATCCACTTATAACAACTGTCATTATAATAACTATCATTATAACAACTATCATTATAACAACTATCATTATAACAACTATCATTATAACAACTATCTTTATAACAACTATCTTTATAACAGCTATCATTATAACAGCTATTATTATAACAGTTATCATTATAAAAACTATCATTATAACTGTCATTGTAATAGCTATCATTATAACAACTATCATTATAACAACTAGCATTATAATAGCTATCTTTATAACAACTGTCACTATAATAACTATCATTATAATAACTATCATTATAATATCTATCATTATAACAACTATCATTATAAAACTATCATTATACATAATATCTATCTTATAACAAACTAGTCATTATAATAGCTATCATTATAACAACTATCATTATAACAGCTATTATTATAACAGTTATCATTATAAAAACTATTATTATAACTGTCATTGTAATAGCTATCATTATAACAACTATCATTGTAATGACTACAATAATAACAACTACGTAACAATCATTATAAGAGCTCTCATTATGAAAACTATCATTATAACAGCTACCATTATAACAACTGCCATTATAACAACTATCATTATAACAACTATCTTTATAACAATCATTATATAAGCTATCATTACAACAGCTATCATTATAACAGCTATCATTATAACAGCTATCATTATAACTACTATCATTATAACAGCTATCATTATAACAGCTATCATTATAACTATTATCATTATAACAGCTGTCACTCTAACAGCTATCATTATAACTATCATTATAACAGCTCTAATTAAAACAGCTAATCTACCAACTATCATTATAAGAGCTATTATACCAACTATCATTATAACTGCTATCATTATAACAACTATCATCATATAACGCCTTTAATATAAGAAAATACATTTAAGTAAATCAGAAATAAATTAGTTAAGGTTTATTAAAAAATGTCTAGACCTTTGTTTTTTAAGTTGAGACGATGTGAAGCATCGTACTG